TACCTTTTATCTGGCTAAGAGTGAGGCTGTGTTTACCGTTTGCTATAAATGTAGGTGTTAGAGGCTATAATTTTTTTCCTGGTGTCCTTGTTTATCACTCCTTTGTTGTCTTTGTGTTTCCCTAGAAACATCTTTTTAAATAAGGTATGAGTTGTGAAGTTCTTTCAGTTGTAACCCCCTATTATTAGACAGGAACCCTATTGATGTTTTGGTAAAATATGGGGTAAAGGCAAGTGTTATTTACTATTATAATTAAGTCTCAGTTTTGTACAGGACCTTGTCTCTGTGCTGTGACCCTCACAAGTGCTTTACAACTCCTCTCCCACCCCACCGTTAGTTAAGGCAGAAAGGCTAGTGGTGCTGGAGCTAGCTATTTTTCTTCCTCTATTTCAAAGGCTAGAGGAGTCAGAATTGGATATTTTCCTTTCCCCATGTCAAAGGCTAGAAAGGGATAGAGTGTTCATACCAATTGCTGGATTCTGAAGCTGCTTCTACTCCCAGGGAGATGTGATTCTTTGTATTTTCCTGTCTCTCCAGTTCTTTGGGGAGATTATTTTGTTACCTTAGTTATCTGATGAATCTGAGAAGAGTTGTTAATTTTCAGTTTGTTCGGATTTTCCTGTTGTGAGGATTGTGGTAATGACTTCCAAGCACTTTACACATTAGACTGGAAACTGGAAGTTTACCCCAGCATTACTTATAACTTTGGATTAAAGCATTGCCTCCCAACAGCTATAGAAATGTGAGTCGCATTAACTTCTAACGATCAATAATATATAATAATAGATGTATATTTATAATCTAAAAGCAAACTTCTGAAGGTAATAACAATAATAGAATAATAGTTAATATTTATTGAGTGGTTTTAGCATGTGATACCCTAATTACAGGGCATTCACATGCATTGCCTTGTTTAATAGTTATAATCTCCCAAATTTGTAAATATTATCATCACCACCTGTTTTATTTGGTGAAGCAATTGAGGCTTAGATTGATTTAGTATTATGCTAACGAACACAAAATGTGAGATTTCAACCCAGGTGTTTGAGTCTAGAGCTTATATTCTTAACCACTGTGGGCTACCAACATCAACATTCAGACTGCAAAGCTAGAAAGTTAATAAAATAGGACTCATAGGGGAAGGGCTTTTTGGAGTGGATTGTTCATGGCATTCAGTGTAGAGAAAAGGCTGAAAAGGACAATGTTGCTACCTAATTCACAATTGTGCTCCTAATCATATCTTTTATCTCTAAATTTCAGAAAGTTCAGGTTCTCTAAAGAGTGTTCATCAGATGTCTGGATGCTCTATGAGGCAGTACAGTCTCCAGGGAAAAGGAGAGAAGTTGGTCTGAGGGGGGATTGGTGTTAGGTATCTAACAAAGGTGCTTTGAGGACCAGAGGTTACATGATTGGCTTATGGCTGCACAGCTGCTTTGCGGTTAAACTTCAGAATCAGAAGAAATATTGGAATCAGTCATTCTGTTGTTCTTGCCATGAGGAATGAGTCATGTGCTCTGAGTGGCACTAAAGTAACCACGATTACCAAATGAAATGAATTTAAAAGCACCTGTGAATGTGACAATGATATCACAGAAATAGTCTGTAAGTATAGTGCTGAATATTTCAGGGTGGAAACTCCAAGATCTAAATGTGACTGGCAACAGGTTACTTTTAGGGGTCTTGGTAGACAGATGTCTCTGTTGTACATTCTGATCTCCCAGCCCAGTAACTGCTAGCAAGGGACATCTGCTATCCAGAAAGGCTGAAAGAGAAGGGGGAAAATGGTTGACAGTATGCTGACAGAGCAAGGATGCCCTACAACAAATTGCTCTATGAGGGGCCAGCCAGACCACGAAATGGAGCTGTTTGTTGAACTTAGGCAACTCTAGCAAGATTGGCTTTCAGCAACATTTTCAAGTTAATGAAGTTTAATGGTCCTAGGGGCAATGAATAGTAGGATAATTACACAGTGAGGTCAATATTAGGAGCCTGATCACAATGTCTTGACCTCAAACAACCATATTGTGACTTGAGCTATGTGCTTCAAACTTCTTTGCTTAACAGATTGTCAGAATTAAATTAAACAGGTCTGGGGCAGTGGTGTGTGGCAGTGTTGTCTGTCTACTAGGAAATGCGGGGGCAGGAGAGAAGCAGTGACAGCAGTAAGTCGAATAGCGGCTTGGGGAAGAGACAATTCAAATAATGAGGTCAAGAGCCTGGAGACTTCTGAGAGTCTATATAGGCACCCAGACTGAGGCAGAATAGCTAACAGAGTAACTTCATGAAAGATGGATTAGTAGGAGCAGGATGGTTATCTACACAGTTTGATGGGAAAGGTAATTTAAAGGCTCTTTTGTCCCAAATGTAGCACCTCTACTCACCTGCTAAAATTAGTGTTGGAGTGGCTTTGTAGAAGCTATATGTTTTCAGTGGGTTAAGGTTTGATTTTGCTAGAGGATAGTTAGTCAATTAATGAAGATTTGTTTGTATTTGATTAGTTCATTAGCACCAAGTTTTACCAAGCAGAGCTGGAGATTCTAAAGTGATAAAATCCAGTATAGGGAGGATTTAGGAACAGGATCATTGTGCTAGATGTCCACTATGTGTAGTGCTGCCCAACAAGAATGTAATGAATAAACCTGCAAGCTTCTGGGTTCTGACTGTTTACATGGTAGTAAATATTTTACCAATAAGCAAATTTGCCTAAATTCACAGAACTTGGGTGAACCCTGGATTTTAAACTAGAGATTCCAGCCCTACAGTCAATTTGCCTTTTCATCTATACTACATTGTCTTCAGAGGAGTGTAAGTGACAGAAAGACGTTTTCTTATAACACTATTTTCCCATAAAAGCCCACTCTATTGGATACAAAGAATCCTTTATGAGGCTAGTTGGCGATGTGGAAAGCATTTGGGATTATCTAGATTTATCCCAAGGAACATGTAAAGATTGCAGACTGTTCTTCATCAGGAGTTATTTTCTAATTCCTATACACTTTTTATATTTTACTTCTTGAAGTGAGAAAAAGCAATACAGTGAGCAGGGAAAATGAAAATTGTTAGAACTAATTGCATATGGACTTTACTCCAAAATGATACTAGAAAATGACACCATTTGTCTTTGAGTGAAATGAGTGTGTGGGCTTATTTGCCTGTCCCCACCACTGCTATGTGAAGGTACAGCAGCTCAGTTTTCATTTTCCTTTCCTCTCAAAATGCCCAGAGGGACCATATTTTTGTTTAATGACCTTAAGAATGATTCTTTAGAAATCTGAGGCTATCAGAGTTGGAAGCAATGCGAAAATAATTGTGGATTATTATTGTATGACAACAGTGGCAGCTGGGCTATTTTTTTCTGACTGTTCAGATTTTCTTCTTCATTTTCCCAGAAACCTTATATCCTAAGGTTTAACTCAGAAGCAAATCTCATATAGGTGATAAACCTTGCTAGACATGGTACGTAATATAATTTCAGACAGACCCTTAACTGTTCTTCAGAAAGACCATAGGGAGTGAAGCAGCCTTATATCTAGATGCCTGCAGTAATATTACTTTTATTTACTCTCTGACAATGTGTGTGGGTAGTTGTATTGAACATAAAGTAAGCATATCTCTTAAATATTATACCTGTGAACGTGCCAGTTTTTGTGTTTTGTTGTCAAAACTCATGCTAACATAAAAGAAAAAAAAAGTTGTAGTTAAAAGCTAATAAATGGGTATTCACTCAAATCATTTACACACATATGTACATATATACATAAGCACTCAAAGCTGGAGATTGAGAGTCAGCACAGATTCTAACTTTATGAGTTTATGAATGTTTAAGATGTTAGTATGGAGGGCAGGGATGAGGAGTGGTAGATGCAGATGTTGTATATACCGTGGTAGACAAAGTGAAAAGTGTTCCCAACTATTGTTCATATCAGCTGCCTCACAATCAATTTATTTATTACCTCAACTGACAAACTCCAAATTTAGATAAAATACTTTTGCCTTGATTGTTCAGTAACCCCTCACAGGTATCCCCTATACCTCCATTAAATGTTTGTACAGTATTTGGCTACCACTTTAGTGGAACATTTGGAGTGAGTGGTAGACAGAATGTGACAATATCTAAAAAAGTAGTCGAAGAAAATCCCAAAACACAAAACCATTTGGCTGAATATTCTTACATACTTGGCTATTGCTATATTCTTGTTACTTTCTGGAAAAGTGTTACACATTCCTTTCTAGGGAAGTTTAATCCCAGTAACAAGACTAACTCATTTTCCCATCAGGAGAGTAAGGGAATTGACTTCAAACACAAATCTTATTTTCTGGTTATATATCACTGAACTCAGAAAATAAGTGAGTGATTTCTTTGGGCTGTTATTATAACAAATTATGTCCTCATTTTACCTAGCTATGTTCCTAGAGAATTCCTTAATACTAATTTTTTAGACTCCTTTCCCCGATTCCCCAAATTGATCTCTTGACTACAAGGAGGGAGATTCTGTAGTATTAGTTTTAGTTTTTACAAGAAGGAGTAATTATGGAAGCAATTGTAAACTTCATTGCCAATGTAAAAGCCTATTATGAATGTTTAATCATTCCTAAGACTCCCTCAGGGTGTACTAAGTGGCTAAGTATATCCTCTTAGGACTCTTAAGAAAGATCCCTGACAAATAGAAAGAAGTAGTACATTATAATAATATTTAGCAACTTTTAACATTTTGCTATACCTCTCTTGCATTTGGGGAGCTTGTATACTATTCTATTTTTGTAGAATGCCTCTAAAGACTTCTTGCTTTTGGGATCAGGCATGTAATGTGGCTCTGAGTGTGATAGTTGTGATATTTGAATTGGACACAATAAAATACAATTTTAAAATTCGACTTGGTCATTGATTTAACTCCTTGATTACATATTTTGAAAACTAAAGAAAAGAATACAAAAAGTAAAAGTACTTATTTGCCAGTACTAAGATGTAGTTTGCTCACTTGCAAATGTTTTCTCTGTAGGAATGCAAACCAAAGATGTGGAGAAGCATAATAATACAGAAAGGAAATGCTCTTCTAATTCAGGAAGTTCAAGAAGAAGATGGAGGAAATTACACGTGTGAACTTAAGTATGAAGGAAAACTTGTAAGACGAACAACTGAATTGAAAGTCACAGGTAGGAACTGGTTCTACCAAATTTTGGCAAATGAGATTTTAAGTACAGTTTGGTTTGGGGAGAAAGTTTTGTTCAAATAATCAACTTGCTGTGAATTTAGAATTGCCTGCAAATCAAACAGTTGGGAAGTTCACTTTTAATAAGGTACACTGAATAAAGACCTATATATGGAATATGAAAGATTAATTTAGGAAACAAGGGACCAATTGCAGCATATCTATCCTCTGCCTTTGTGAAAAGTTCTTAACTCTTCAATCTACCTTTGATTGTTACTAAATATCTCAGAAAAGATATAATGGAGCCACTCATGGAAATGTTGACTTAATTCATTTGTGGAATCTCCTTGTAGTTGAAAGCCCCTTTTAGAATGAGGTTCTGGTGTACTTAAGGAATGAAATTTTCTTGAGTTGTATCCACAGGATCATCTATACAAAATTCTCCATAAGTGAGTGATGTTTTTGTGAGCTTCTAGTGACTTTTAGAGCAATTCCAAAAGAAAAATATACATGTGAGTGTTTTAAAACTAAAGTATAAACAAAATGTAAACTTGTAATTCAATTTACAGGCGTGGAAGAGATAAACTCAGAATATTCTTAGCTGGTGGAGAATTCTAGGAAGTAATTATCAGAAACATAGGGCAGAATCTAGTACTATAAAGATAACCTTCACTATGGATGTGATAGACCCTTAAAAACTATGATAAAAAGTCTACTTGCTATTGCTCATGAAAAAATCTTGACTCATTTTCCTATTATATATGTCTTAAGTGTATTATAATCTCATTTATATGTGGAATCTAAAGAAGTTGAATGTATGTAGCAAAAAAGAGTAGAATAGTGGTTGGAGGAGGAGTGAAGAATAAAGAGATATAGATCAAAAGGTACATAGAAAGTTGCAGTTATGTAGGATGAATAAGTCTACTGACTAATGTAGGGCACGATGATTATAGTTAATATACTATTGCTAAGAGAATAGATTCCAGGTGCTTTTACCACAAAAACTAAATGATAACCATATGTGGAAATTGATATGGTAATTTGGCTGTAGTAATTATTTACTATGTACATGTATATCAAAACTTGTTTCATACCTTACATATATATAATTAAAAACATGTGCATATGTTGTGTGTATATATATATATACACACATTATATTGTGGATAAACTTTTTATTTTATTTTATGTTCTTATTTTATTTTTTTAAAGATGTGGGGAACCATTCAGGGTTAGGTATACAAATGTTGATTATGCAGGTACCCTTGTTGATGAGGTGTACGCCTCCCTCCCTTAGCAGTTTCCCTCAACTGCCATGTGGATAAACTTTATCCATGATAAACTTTGAAATTATCCAGACATTTGCAACATTGTTTTTATTAATTCACTTATGATTTATGTGCTTGGGCATTGCCTGTTTAAGCAATTAATGCTGACATTATCCTGTTGGTTAATTATAATATACTCTTGCTAATTTTTGGAGTGTACTATATTTTCTATTTTTGGTTCATGCCTGACTGAACTTCTTGGAGTTGTGTTAAAATCTGTCAACTGATATTCATACTTACTGAGTTAAGTTCATTGCTATAACCCATATATTTAATTTATACTCAATTGTTTATTTTGTCTTTTCCAAAATTCTGAATGTTAACACAGAATAAAAAATATATTTTAATAAACTAATATATGTATAATATATTGGTCCACTCTCTAGTCTAAGAAGTTGGCAGTTTTATTTCTTAGCTTGATTTTGTAGAAAACCTTCTGTGAAAGTTTAAGTAATATGTTTGATTAGAATTGCATGTTCTTTCCCCTCTGAGCTTTCAAAATAGCTACCATATTGGGCCAATTCCAAATAGCAATGATCTGCTTTTGATTAGTTTCTGATTTTCTCAATGTGAACTAGACTTCCCTGACTCGTTCATGGTGGAAGACTGAATCATAGTCAGTTGACCTGTATTGCAGAAAGCCTTGTAACAATATCACTTTGACCACAATCACGAATCCTTATTAGATGCTTTAAGTTGAATTGGAATAAATTAAACATCAAAACTTTTCACTCATATCTGCAGGTAATGGTGGCAACACGTTTGCTTCTTTAGTTTCATTTAGATTCTGGAAAAGTAGAGATAGAGCTATTTATTTTGTGTATTTTATAATATGTTCATTTACTTCCTCTAAACTTTTGGTATAGTTGAACTATAGATTTAAAATTTCATCTGGGCAGAAAATGGCAAAATTTAATGTGCCTCAGAATCTTGTGAAGGAACCCAGGTAGGATGAAGGCGAGCATCTGTTAATACAGATTTCAAGGTCTCTCCCCAGATTCTGATTTAGTATATTAGTAGAAGTAAGAATTTACCTTTTCGTCCAGGGAATTCTACTTTATGCCTTCCAAGGATCATACTTTGGAATACACTAGAGGAAAAAATGTTGCTAAATAAGTCAAAGTAATAAATTTGGTTTTCTTTTGACCGTGTTAATACACACACACACACACACACACACACACACACACACACACACACACACACACACAACTGATTTTTATAGGCCCCAAATTGTTTTGTCTAAATTCCTAGGGACTGTCATGGAAATACAGATCATGGTAACCAAGGAGAATGTGTCCAGAGAGCATGTGGTAAAGCAACCTTAACCACAAAAAGCAGTAATTTATTCACTTACCACTTAAATAAAAATTCACTGAGTACATATTACATACCAGATAACAAGCTAGGAGCTGGAAAAGGCAATTCAGAATTTGTTTATGATTATTATTGGGTGTAGTGGCCATTGTTAAATCACATTTATATCTTTATTCCCACAGTTTAACTGTTGTGTTTGATGTAGATACAAAATGGCTTCTTGGTATGAAAGTTCAAGAGGTTGTTCTGAGAAGGTTAATTCTTTTTTTCAATGTTATATAAGTTGTACTGTGCTTTGTAGGCTCAATATTATGAAAGCAATGAACAAACAGACTGTTTTCCTATAATCCAAAATAGAAGACTAAAATTGTTTAAAGAGTAACACACTCATACTTGTTTTGAGTTTAGCAATATACAGACATAGAATAAGAATTTCAATATGACATTAATAGGATTCGTTAATTACAAAATTGTGTACATGGGGTCCTTTAAAATGGTGTAATTCAAGTATGCTGGTTTTAAAAGGTTGTTAAATTTCTAAAAGGTTATTTTCTGGTTTTTTAAACTAATACTTCTGAGCAATGTATTTTCAGTAAAACAGGTATTATATTATGGTATATAGGTGCTACTTGTTTTAAGAAGATCAGTTATAAAATGATTCAGATACTCAAAATGGATAAATTAATAGATAATCATTTGCTTTATGAAATTATTTCTCCATATAAAATAATTTCCATCATATTTCTTTAAATAGTCTCCTTACTGCATTAAAATAAGATTTGATTTAATTGCAACTTTTCTGGAACACTTTTGTTATACAAATCATGGCAGATGTGTGATGTTATTGTGGAAATTTCTTTTTATTTCTTTGGAGGCTGAAGATGAGTAGGGAACAATAGCGTGTAGATGTGAACAATAGCGTGTTTAAGTCATTTACAAATGATGCTCACAGCTAACAGTTTTATTTCTCATAGCATAGTTTAGGTGGCTATCAGTTATTTAACATTTTTTTGTTTATTCTCACATTGAATTTGTGCACAGTGTTAGTTGAAGTGGTAAGGAAAGAAAAGAAAGTTGGTTATAAGATGATGAGAATGTAGAACAAGTGATAACGTATGCTTGATGAGAATGGATGGTGTATAGATGGTGAGAATGGGATAAGGAGGAGAAAAGGAGTGGGAAAGAGTGAGAAAAATATTGGGATAGGGTCTCCTGGGTTGAGAGGTCTGTCTTGAGAAGGCCAAAGGCAATCATAAATTATAGAGACTTCCCAGAATAAACGCAAGCAGGAAGCCAGCATAATTAACTTTATTTGGAAAAGAATTCACCATTCATGTGGCAAATCATTCACAAATGCATGCTTTTGTATAGCTTTTTACAGATGAACATTGGCTATTCAGAAAAAAAAAAAACTACTAACATGTTTCCTGATGAATAAGTAAGTAACACCCCTCTTCCTGATTCTTTTTTTTTTCAATTATGTTTTTTTTCCTCTTTTATTTTGAAGATGTGATGTACAATTCAGGGTTAGGCATACAATTGTTCTTTATGCAGATACCCTTGTTGATGAGGTGTGCCTCCCCCTCCCCTGGCAGTTTTCCTCAACTGCCAATCCCACCCCCACTCCTGGCAGTTTCCCAATACTGCCAATCCCTTTCTTATAGTATTGTGATCATTGTTCAAGGTCTGCTTATGAGTGATAACATATGGTACTCTGTTCTTTGTTTCTGTAATAGATCACTGAGTATGATAGACTCTAAATCCATCCAAGATGCTGTGAAGTCCATATGTTTGTCCTTCTTTATGTCTGCATAATATTCCATTGTGTATATGTACCACATTTTTTTTATCCAGTCCAGCTTCAATGGGCAGCATAGTTTGTTCCATGTTTTTGCTATTGTGAATAGATCTGTAACAAACATGCATGTGCAGGTATCCTTTTGGTAGAATGACTTGAGTTCCTCTAGGTATATTCCCAATAGGGGGATGACTGGGCCATATGGAAGGTCAATTTCTAGTTCTTTCAGAAATCTCCACACTGTCTTTCAAAGAGGTTGCACCAGTTTGCATTCCCACCTGCAGTGTAGAAGTATTCTTTTGTCTTTGCATCCTCAACAGCATCTGCTGTTGTTTGTTTTATTAATGACAGCCATTCTTACTGGGGTTAAGTGGTATCTCAATGTGGTTTTGATTTGCATTTTTCCGATGATGAGTGAGGCTGAGCACTTTTACAGGTGTTTGTTGGCTGCCCGTATATCTTCTTTTGAGAAGTGTCTATTCATGTCTTTTGCCCACTTTTTTTTTTTTCATTAATCAGTATTTTTTATTATGGTTTTGTGGGGTACAGTTAAGGGTTAGGTGTACAATGACGTTTCATTCAGGCACCCTGTAGATAAGAAGTGTTTTCCCATCCCCTGACAGATATTTGCTACTGTTAATCCCATCCCCCTCCCCCCCATAGTTTCCCAGTACCATCAGTCATTTTCTTATAGTATTGCATTGGATGTTCAGGGTCCATTATATGAGTGAGAACATGTGATATTCG